TGGGGAGGCCGCTGTGCAGCCACCTCCCGAAGCAGAGGGGAGAGGTGGCGGAAAGGAGGGTGAGGGCAGCGTCGCTCCTCGCGCTGCTCTTCTCCTGCATCTCTCCTTCTCCTGCGCTCCCTCGCCTAGGCAAGGTCTTCATAACCTACTCCGTGGACACGGCCGTGGAGGTCATGAAGTTTGTGAACTTCCTGCTGGTAAACGGATTTCAGACGGCCGTGAGTATTGYTGCCCGGGAAAAGGGCTTTAGCCCGGAGAGGGGAGAGAGACACAGTCTATTAAATATTTCTCTGTATCGCTGCATTGTGGGTTAAATAAGATACAGGTGGGATGAACTGGGCTTTGGATGTAAAAGTTGTAACTTAAATGATTTGACTTTTTCATCTATTCATGTTTTTTAAGTGAATTTTATGTTTTGAAATGGGATTTAACAGTGACCCTGGAAAATTCTATTTAGTGGCACCAGGTGCCAGATGGGCAATAGTGTGAGTTTTTGCGAGCTGTTCCATTGATGGGGCTTCATATTTGATGTGCAATATTGAAAAAGGTCAGTTTTCCCGACCATCCCATCGTAGCTTCTCCTCTGAGATGCTGCTGCGYTGCTGGTTCTTCAGATAGGAGCACCTTGCTACTGGAGAGCATATCTAAACATCTAAAACCTGCTAAAGAGCCAACCTAAAGATCTCAAACCAATGTATTTCACACAGCTTCGTGCACCAGCCTGTCTTGTACTTTCATTTGGTTAATTAGGCTTTTAAAAGGATWCCGAAATCACTGAAGGTGTCTATGTCCCACTGTCTAATCCCATRAACTGTCCAGGTTTTCCTGTAACTTCCCATGAGCTGCTTCATCACAACCACCCTCACTAAGGGACCCGGCCCCAGAGGCTCTGGGGTTCCGTGTCCATCCCGACCTTGATTCCTGCTTTCCTGCTTCAGGCACTTGTGCTGCCTGACCCCTCAGCCTTCACTCGCCGGCTTCAGTTCAGCAAAGCCTTTAAGCAGGTSGCTGCCATTAAGCTGAGTGGGACTCAGTGGGGGTTTAGCACGTGCTTATTTGTTTTCCTGAGTCCAAGGCTTTTTCCAGAGCCTGGATTTGGCTCCTCTCCAGCAGGTCTTTACTACACTTGAGCAATTCCTGAGAAAGCTGTGAACACGCGGAGGTGCAAGAGCAGAAGGCTCCTTAGGAGCAGCTTTGCTGGGCRGACACTTCTTGGACATTGCTGCAGAACAACATACTTGGGGAAGTGAATCATGGAAACACAGAATCCTTAAGGCTGGAAGGGACCTCCAGAGATCATCCAGTCCAACCCCCTGCTCCAGCAGGGACACCCAGAGCACGGGGCACAGGGCGGCATCCAGGCGGGTTGGGAAGATCTCCAGAGAAGGAGACTCCACAGCCTCCCTGGGCAGCCTGTGCCAGGGCTCTGTGAATTGTCAGTTGGTGTGTGTGGGGCATGCTCCTTTCCTAAGGAAAGCAGGCATGGATGGCAGAATCTAGGGAAAAGGGCTGGCATCGGGAAGCCTTTTCRGAGCCACGGCCTGGGCTGCTAACCGTGGGCTGCCTCTCTCTTGCAGATTGATATMTTTGAGGACACGGTCCGAGGCATCGACATCATTAAGTGGATGGAGCGCTACCTAGGTGATGTATGTAAAGACAGTTTCACCTTGTTCCCCAGCAGAGGTGACCCCAGGAAAATTGTCAAATTATTCAAATAGTAACGGGAGCAGACTGGGAATGTGGGACGTGCCCTTCCCGGCCCCTGCTGAAACGGCAGAGGCTGCTGAGAGAAGCCATAGCCAAAGCTTTGTGTGATCCCAGAAGTCTTTCCTAAGAAATGAAGTGCTAATCTGGCCCTTCCTGCCAAATTCCAGTGGGGGCTGCTGCTACCTTCAGCCTGAAGCTGCCATTGGACAAGTGCTGCATCCATTTCCTTTTTCAGTAGCATCTGTTTTTTCCTATGTATGGTAAAATAGGGAGGTGTCTGTGTTTCATCCCAAGCTGCAAAGGAGCATTTAATGTCTGTCCTGCTTCTCACCTGCAGCTGCTGGGTTGCCAGCTAAAATACTGGGGGGTTCTCCTCTCACTGACCCCTGGAGAAGCTTGTCCTGTTCCATGAGCTGCCCGTGGAGGCCGTTCCTCCTTTCCAAACCTCTACACACACATGAGCCAGGACACAAGCAGGGCACGGGTGCAGCTGAGCCCGTCTCTGCAAGCCCTCCACATCTGCAAGTGCTTACGTGCACGTCAGGCACGAGCACCAGCAGCTCTGCAGTACGTTAGGTCGGTGCAAGGGATACTGCTTCCYTGCAGTTTTGGACCCTGTGGTGGGGCAAATTCCCTTGATACTGCCCAGAAGGAACGAGTTAATTAGGTGCCAGGATGGCTGCAAGCCACATCCTTGGAAACCTGGCCCAGGCTGATGTGGCAGAGATGAAAGGCAGACCCTAAGTCAACGCAAATAGGAAGCTGGAATCTGCAGGGCCTCTTCCCAGGGCCACCATTAAGGAGGAGGGCGATTTCCCGGGTATGGATGATGGAAACSCGAGCTCGGGCAGGGCCTGGGATGAAAGAGGCCACAGGCGGGACGGGGGCTGCAGCGCACGGAGAGGAGCCCTGTGCCCTGTGCACGGGGCTCGGCACGGGGCTCGGCACAGGCTGCCTGCTCCTGCCTGTGGGGATCAGTGGGGACTGCCCTGGCTGCTGCTGCCCCTGCTGCTGCCCCTGCTGCCCCTGCCCCTGCTGCTGCTCCTGCCCCTGCTCCTGCCCCTGCTGCTGCCCCTGCCCCTGCTGCTGCCCCTGCTGCTCCTGCCCCTGCCTGCAGCAGCCACAGACAACTGCCCCCGGTAGCGCGGGGGCCGCGAAGGGTTAAGCAGATGCACTTCTGCCTAAGCTGTTGGAAAACACTCAGGTCGGAATTTGAGGATAAGTTTTCTGTGTATGTACATAACGCGCTGCACGCTGATGAAAAGTAGCTTTTTATTAGAGGGATTCCGACTGCAAACTGGTAGCTGTTAATGTATCACTTGACATTTAGAGATTCTATATTGTGAGATCTCGAGAAATAAAGAGGAAAATGAGTGTACGAGTTCTCCTGCATTTCCTGCCAGAATGAATGAGATCCTCTTGTGTTTGCCAAGAACATAAAGATCACTTAAAATACAATCTGGCAGATTTCCGATCTGCCTCTACCAAACACTCTGCACTTCCCAATTTCATAAAAGTGCTTTTCTCCCTAACAGAAGACCGTGATGATAATCATAGCAATCAGTCCAAAATACAAACAGGATGTGGAAGGGGCTGAATCCCAGCTGGACAGGGATGAACATGGCTTACATACCAAATACATCCACAGGATGGTAAGCAAGGACGTGCACTCGCCTCGTCTCAGAAAGGCTCTGTCTCTTCTTCTCTAAAGACAAATCTGTCTCCAAATGGCAGGTTCTGGGCTTTGTTTTCACTAATCCCCATAGTTAAACACCCCCCSCCCTTTGGAATTCATTAATCCTCCCTCTCATCAGCTCCGTATGCTCATTAACATCTGCTAAGAGGTTCAAGAAAGAAAAATCCTATTAAACGCGCTCGTCTTATTCCTCCGTATTCTTTGTTATCCCGTGTTTTCCCCTCCCTCACCTCCCTGGGCCCTCGTTGCCCTGTCGCGTAGCCCTCAGCGCAGCCTCATCCAAGGCTGCGGCCTCCGCCTGGGCTTTGTCGCGTGTCCGGGCTCTGCACAGGGCCCTCACTTGGGCCAGGCTCTAGGCGGGACTGGCGGCAGCGAGACCCACAGCTGCGCCCTCCTCAAGAGCTGTGAGCGCCCCAGAGACGCCGACCAGCCGGGGCTGCGTGAGGAGCAACCAGGTCGATGTCCACACCAGCCAGGTCAATGTCCACACCAACCAGGTCAATGTCCACACCAGCCAGGTCAATGTCCACGCCAGCCAGGTCAATGTCCACGCCAGCCAGGTCAATGTCCACACCAACCAGGTCGATGTCCACGCCAGCCAGGTCAATGTCCACGCCAGCCAGGTCAATGTCCACACCAGCCAGGTCGATGTCCACGCCAGCCAGGTCAATGTCCACGCCAGCCAGGTCAATGTCCACGCCAGCCAGGTCAATGCCCACACCAACCAGGTCGATGTCCACGCCAGTCAGGTCAATGTCCACACCAGCCAGGTCGATGTCCACACCAACCAGGTCAATGTCCACGCCAGTCAGGTCAATGCCCACACCAACCAGGTCGATGTCCACACCAACCAGGTCAATGCCCACGCCAGCCAGGTCAATGCCCACACCAACCAGGTCGATGTCCACGCCAACCAGGTCAATGCCCACACCAACCAGGTCGATGTCCACACCAACCAGGTCAATGTCCACGCCAGTCAGGTCAATGTCCACGCCAGCCAGGTCGATGCCCACACCAGCCAGGTCAATGTCCACGCCAGCCAGGTCAACGTCCACACCAACCAGGTCGATGCCCACGCCAGCCAGGTCAATGCCCACACCAGCCAGGTCTATGCCCATGCCCAACCAAGTCAATGCCCAAGCAAACCAGGTCGATGCCCAAGCCAACCAGGTCAATGCCCACGCCAACCATGCCCGGGGCCCAGCGGCCACAGCAAAGCCCTGAGCACAGGAGCAGCTACGGCCAGCAAGGAATGTTTCTGGGCATGGGATTCAGATGCGCGTACGGAAGGATCAACCTCGTATTAATCACAATAAACACTGCAATTTGTTCTGTTCTAGATGCAGATTGAGTTTATACAACAAGGAAGCATGAACTTCAGATTCATCCCTGTGCTCTTTCCAAATGCTAAAAAGGTAACACACAACTTACATACATTTCTTACATAGCTAAGCATGTCTCATTTTGATTAGAGTTCACCTGATGAAATTTGGAAGACCAAAATCTCAGTTTCTCAGCACTTAATAGCCCACCAGTAATATTTCAAGCCACATTTTATGTGAAAAGTTTACAGCTTTATGTACAATTAATAAGGAAAAATACCCACAATATATCAGTAGGTAAATGCATTTTTCATGATGAGTGTATAACAGAAACTCAAATTGTCTTGAGCACTGAAAGAATTTAAATGGAGAGAGAGGATCTCCCAAACCAGCATGTTTTTTCTATTAACCCGTTATAATTTTGTCCAGATGTGACGCTGCTGAGTGTGATGGGCRAGATTTATGACTGATGTGAAGTGAGGATCTGGAAGGGGGTGGGCTGAGAACATAAAAATAAAGAGGACAATAAATACTGAAGCACCGTGCCGGTGCTTGGACTTTGATGGGCTCATCAAAAGCAAACTCCAAGGGTTTTAGGACTTGCAATTTCATCTACTCTCCTTTTTGGTTTTGTGGATTCATTTGCAAGTAAGAAAGATGATTGAATCCCAAACCTTTCTTCCTCACGCTGGGAGAACCTCTTGGATTTTTACAAGGCCAGGAAAGTTAAATGGCCTCATTTTTCACTGGGCAATTACATTCTTCCCCCAAACTTAGAGTGGATATGTTATATCCATAGTCACTTCTCACCATTAAATGCTGTGTGTGCTGCTTGGTAGCTGCCATGTTACCCTTAGGGACAGCTGCATTTTGGAAGAGGATGGAGAGATTCCTTATATTTATTTGGGTGCCAGCATTTGGAAACCAAGCCAACATCTAAACAATTCCGTGAATGTTTCGTGGCGCTGTGAAGTCCCACAGCGCTTGTGGATTTTAGTGCAAAGGAGCTCTTTACTTCAGCACCGATTTAGGATCAGTCCAGAAACTTGGAAACGTGTCCCAGGGTTTGTAAAATATGTGGGAYTCCTTGTGCCGAGAGGAACCCCTGGTGTTGTGTGTCACTCGGCTTCCCGAGGGACCCCGGCACGACGCAGGACACGGCGACTTGCCCGCAGTAGCTGCGCAGCTGCCTGCGCGCGGCCTCGGGCAGGCACCAGAGCAAGAAACCTGCGTTAATTTTAGGCTAAACCTCGCGCATCCGAGCACTGCTTAGCACAGAGCAGCGGCTCGCAGACAGGGATCCACGAGGAAGTTGCAGGGCTGGTTTGTTCAGCTGCTCTCGTCAAAGCAGCCGCCTCCGAGCAGCCTTCCTGCTGATGGCCACGCGGTCCTGATCTCCCCTCAGCTTCCCAGGAGGCGCCTTCCCCATCCAACCTACACGGAGGAGCATTTCCGTGGCTGCCCAGACTTGCTCTTTCCTCCTTCCGTTGGTACCTCACCAGCCCTCATCAGGCTGGGCAGTGATAACTGAATGAGGGCATCCCGGGTGGAGGAGAGCGTGGGCAGGCTGCAGGAACAAAGTCTGCAGGCATCTCGGGGGAGATGAGGTATCAGTGCCCCCGACACTCACACCTATCCCAGCGATGCAAAATACGTCAGATATACATATATATATTATATATATATAAAACAGAATGATGCAGACAGGCACATTTTTGGTCGTTTTTGCACTGTGCTTTCCTGTCTGTGTAGCTGCGCTGGAAAAGGGCAGGGGAAGGTTCGGAAGGTCTCACCTGGGGACATGAGCTTTAGCTTTATGCTCAGGCTGGTTAATCTCCTTGGGAGGAAGGAGAAGCACTGCGGGTGCCCAAAAGAGAGCTGACCTCCAAGGGAAAAGCATCCAGGTTAGCGGGAGAGTGCGCACCAGGAAACGGGATAACGAGAGGAGAGCCTTGATGGGCGCTTGGGGAGGCCCTGGCATCTCCAGCCCGTCCCGAGCGCTCCCACGGGCCTGGATTTACAGGAACTGGAAGGGCGGGAGCGGTTCCCCGTCCCTCACGGCTGCGGGACCCACGGGCTGCCCCACGCTTCTCGCGCCAACTGCCGTCGTTTCTAGCTGACCCGGTCCTTTCCCAGGAGGAGCCGTGTCAGATGCTTTGCTGAAGTCCAGACAGAGCAGCTCCACTGCATTTCCTTTCCCTGGAAAATGTATGTTCTTATCGAAGACAGCTAGAGGGTTGGGTTGGTAAACCCAGGCTGTATTTTTATCGAGTTTCCTTCGGTGGCTCTTAACAAGATCTATTAAAGAGACAACTTTGCTGCAGTGAGGTACGTGCGAGGCAAGTGTGGGCCTGGCGGGCAAACCTATTTGTCTGCTCCTCTCTCTCTCCCAGCACCGTTTGGATCTCTCGGCCAGTTTCAAACACCGTTGTCAAAGCAGTGAGGTTCCCAAAGATTAAACCCATTCCTGCGAGATTAGTGCAGACAGACACGCAGGCAGCAGCCAGGCATCCTGCTCACGCCCTCAGCAACGGAGATGCTGCAGGAGCAGCACCTTGAATCCCCTGCCTTGGGAAGAGCTTTCCTGGAAGCCAGGGACTCCTTGGCCATGGAGAAGCCGGAGGACCCGACCYGGAGGGCACCCGCAGGGCACCCCAGGGAGCCGCTGTGAATCCCGCTCCGGAGGCACCCTCTTCCCTGCCAGGGCACCAGCGTCTCCCTTCTCTCGCCAGGATTTATCTTCCCAAGCCTTTAGATGTCCCTCCTTGAGACCCGAATCCCGCCGAGGCCTGGCTGCCACGAGCCCACGTGTCCGTGGCAGCGGGACAAGGAGGGRCAGGCGAGCTGGAGGTGGCACCACGTCCGTTTCTTTAGGAGCCCAAACACAACTTYGAAGCCAAACGAAAATTTCTTGTTGTTGTTGCAGGAAATGTCTCCAACAGACCAAGTGAATGCTTGCTTGGCAGAGTTCAATGGAATCGAGAGGGCTCTGCTGCAGATTCGGTGGGATTTATGGGCTTCCCATTTCTCTTCTTGCTCATTTTTTTTCAGGAGCACGTGCCTACGTGGCTGCAGAACACGCACATTTACAACTGGCCCAAGAATAAGAAGAACATCCTGCTGCGGCTGCTGAGGGAAGAGGAGTACGTTGCCCCTCCGATAGGGCCCTTACCCACGCTGCAGGTTGTGCCGTTGTGAACACTGCTCCTCAGAGCGCCGACGCGCAGCTGGGAAAGGGCTGCTGCCGGCGCGGAGCCACCCGCTCCCAGATGGCTCCTGCCGCTGACAGGAGACACTCTTTCTGCTACAGGAATGCGCTGTCCTGGGGAAGGCAGGCTCAGCTCGCTCTCCTCCACGTTACACATTCCTTGCTGGAGCTCASGGGCACAACTCCTGTCTCCAGATTTGTTTTTTTTTAAACAAGCTGCAACTGGAAAAAATATCCAGTTTTATTTTAACATCTGTTTTTAACATACTCYTTTATTGGTCAATATAGCAAACAAATACCAGAAATAATGTTGCAATAAGTGTAAAATAAAAATTGCATCCTCTTTTTTGCGCAGGGCTTCTTTGCAGACATTCCTGCCTTGCTCAGCGTGACCAAACAGCGTTCCTGCGTACGCACTGTTGGATGCAGCCACCTTTCCTAGGGCTGCTTTAGGGGCTGCTTCACAGAACCACAGAATCCTTAGGGCTGGGAGGATCCTTAAGGGACCTCAGAGGTCATCYAGTCCAACCCCCTGCTCCAGCAGGGACACCCAGAGCACGGGGCACAGGGCGGCATCCAGGTGGGTTGGGAAGATCTCCAGAGAAGGAGACTCCACAGCCTCCCTGGGCAGCCTGTGCCAGGGCTCTGGCACCCTCACTGTCAAGAAGTGTTTCCTGAAGTTCCTGTGGAACTTTTGGTGCCTCAGCTTGTGGCCGTTTCCACTTGTCCTATCTCCGGCCACCACTGAACAGAGGCCGCCCCCTCCTCCTCACTGCCCCCCTTGAGGTATTTATACACGCTGATCAGGTCCCCCCTCAGCCTCCTCTTCTCCAGGCTGAACAGGCCCAGCTCCCTCAGCCTTTGCTCACAGGGCAGATGTTCCAGGCCCCTGAAGGTCTCAGGCCCTGCCGGTTTCGCCGGGCACAGGGAGGCCCCGCGCGCTCGGCACAAAGACCCTGTGTGAGACCTGGGGCTCCCAGATCCGACGGCTCCGGAGCTGGGGCTCAGGCGGCACCTGCAGCCCCTGGCAGCAGCAGGGGGGTCCCGAGGGTCCCGCTGGAGCTGGCGCCGGGTTCTCCGGGCCCCTGGCCGCGCTGCCGCTCGCTGGACACAGCCCGTGCCACGGGACACTCGGGAACGGGCCTTGTTGGAGAAACGGCACCGGCTCCTGCGGCTCGAGTGGAGTGTCAGGGAAGGGTAGTAGGGAAAGCTGCGGGGGAGCCACGACTCAAATACTGCTTCATTAAAAAAGAAGTGTTTAGTGGTCCAAAGAATAAGCTAACCCAAAGGTGGGCATTCCTTTATTCCTTTTACATTATTCCAAATATTTAGCTTTCCAAGAAGGCCGTGCTCATGCCGTGTGTTGACACAGGACATGCTTTGTGGTGCTCCTGAGACCAACTAAAAACGGAGCTGAAWCCTGAGGGCCGCGCTGCAAACGCAGCCAGGGCAGGTTCCTTAACAGGCTTTGGAATAAGGAGTTACAGCCACTCTGGAGAAYGGAACAGGGGGCTGGTGCTTCCAGCCGGCAGCTCCCATGGTTTTATTGTGGTTGTGATCCCTGGTGGTGCCTCTTCCAACTCCTACTCCTGAGGAGGGCCGAGCAGAGCCGAAAGGAGCCGACACGTCCTGTGATTCTGCGAGACCCGGCGCGTCCCCGAGGAGCCAAATCAAATCGCACGAGTCGGCGCAAACCAAACGGGTTGTACTAACCCTGCTATTCATTTATGGGCGGTGGGGGCATGGGGATCCTTTTCCACGTGATAAAATGAAAAACGAAGCTTCCCATTAAGAAAATAATTTTCCGGTATCTGGTGACAAGTCTGCAGTTATGACAGAAATCTTCTTAAGAGGTCAATGCGGTGAAGCGAGCGGGGGTGGGACGCGGGCACCCACGCTCGGGCATGGGGGGCACACGGAGCTCCCTGCCGGCTCCCTCCGGCATGGAGAGCCCCCGGGCAGTGCCGGCACCGGGACACACAACCTGTGGACACGGGGAGTGCCGGAGGGGCTGGRCTGCAGGGTGGAAATGCGCAGGAGAGCTAATGCTCTCTCTTCTAATCCGAGTTCAGCTCGGCCCGTCCCTCCCAAACGGCGCTGGACCCCGCGAGCCTCCCCCTACCAGGCGCCATGGGCAGGGGCTCCGAGGTGCCGGGAGCCTCGGAGCCTCCTGGGAATCCCTGCTGGCTGCGGAGGGGCTCCCGGGAGAGGGCGGGCGACGCAGCCCGAGCCGCCACCAGGCCCGGGCTGCAAGTCCCTTGCAGCGCTTCGGCTGCCACCCCAAAGAAAAAATCCCTGGTTTTAACGGGGATTTGCTGGGTTTGGGCCAGGGAATTTCACTAATTCCCGCATCCTGGATCATCCTGGATCCTCCTGATACAGGAGGTTGTGTTAAAGGGTCTGGTGAACATCCCTATCCTTCTGTTTCAGGGATCCTGGAAAGCCGGCAGCAGAGCGAGGAGGGAAAATGAAGCGCTGGTGCTTAGGAAGTACAAAGAGCCCAAGCTGCTCATCGGCTGGGGCTTCTTTCTTTATTTATTTTTTTAATTGAATAGCAATTCCCAGGATCCATTGATCTTCACATTAGTTAGAGCTCCCTACAAGGACAGAAATGGTGCTGCTGAGCGTGTGAGTGATGAGCCCGCAGCCTGGTGAATCATCTCCCCTAAAGCTCTGTGTTTGGAGAGAGACAGATGGTGGGAGCTGCAAGAGGGAGAGGGGAGGAGGAAAACGGGTTTCTGGAAAAAAAACAAAACAGGAGTAGGGAYAGAGTGAAAAGGGAGTAATCAGCAGGTAGGGGAGAAGAAGAGGCTGCAAATACCCAGGTTGTTTCAAAATTAATGCTTAGGTGTTAGATCAGCGTGATGGGAAAAGGCAGGAAGGAAACTGCAGAAAGTCTGAGCTTGTGGCCAAGGGAAAATGGACCAGGAGGGGGGGTGGAAGGCAGTGCTGGCGGCTGGTGCTGCCGCACGGGCCGGGCAGCCCCACACGAACGGCCAGGCAGCCCCACACAAGCAGCCCCACGGCAGGGCCGGCTGCCCCACGCCGGGGCCCGTGGCCGAGGGGACGAGAGCCGCAGGGGGTGACGCAGGAGAGGCCCCTGCGGGGTCTGTAACAGGCCCAGGGCAACGGTGACGGCAAGAGCGAGCACCTCGYCTGGAGAAACATCACCGCCGCCCCCCGCCTCTTCTGCGCTTTCCCACTAGTTTTTAGAAAAAGGAGTGCGCCCTGGAAATAGGATCATAGAATCATGGAATCCTTAAGGTTGGCAGGGACCTCTAGAGATCATCTAGCCCAACTCCCTGCTCCA